AGACACCTGAACCTATCAGGTTGGTACTGACTGACACACAGTAGTACCCTGTCTGACACACAGACTCCCACACCAGCTTCTTCTCTCAGCTCTCCTCCAGCTTCTTCTTCAGCTCTACATATATATACAGTACAGCCCCTCCTCCTGATGTCCCGCCTTCCACTCCCCATAGGATGGAACTTTCCCTCCAACCCATGACAGACAGGTAACATCAGTGCTGTATGTAACACTCCATTGTTTTAGATGCTTATGAAACATAAAAACATACTATTTGAGAAAACTGATACATTTCCACAGAGGACAGAGAGATATGATGTCCAGTGTGGGTTTCCTCTTTCTTTCTTTCTTTCTTTCTTTCTTTCTTTCTTTCTTTCTTTCTTTCCGCTCTGTGGATTGCTGATGGTGGCGACGAGGGAAGGGTTCTTTCTTTCCCTCTCCCCCCCCCTCCCAGTACTTGGACATAAGATTTCTCACAACATGATTTAAAAAACAAATACAAGCAATAACTCAATGGCTGAAATCCAGCAGTAAGCTGCAACTGGAGTAGGCCCATTGGATTAGTGGGGATTTGGGGAGTCAATTCCTCCATATGTTGTCTTGATTCCAGGGTGGATAAAATCAATGATTATCTGAGTTCATAGAAGACAAAAAAAAGCAGCAGATAGCAATATCCTTTTAGGAGCAGAAGGGCAATTGTGTAAGGTCCCTGCGTGATCAGTTTTGAAGTAAGTACCAGGCTGGGCACACAAAGAGGAACTGGCTGAACTGGGAGGAATGTGCATTCCCTAAAAGTATCGTGGCCAGAATCAGTCAATTCAAATTAAATGGAATAAATCAAGCGTGAGAATGGTAACACTAGGATTCCGAGAAACAATCCAGAAGGTAGTTCACTTTTCCCCCTTGTCTGTCTGACATCCAGAGTACCCTAATTCAGCGTGCCTTCCTTTCATCTGAAAACCTCTCTGCTTCTTCAGTGTGTATATCTTCATACCTAGAATAAGTTTTTTTAAAAAATTAAATTTAACATGTCATTTTAATTTGTCTCCTTTTGAAAACGTTGGCAGGCCCACCGTCCCCTCACTTAAGAACATCACAAAAAATGAAACCTATTGAAGAAAGTGTGGAAGATGATGTCTTTGAAGTTCCATCTACTGATCCATCTGAATCTCAAGTGACCTCAATGGCCTGAATTCTGGTCATTTGCACGAGTATGGCAGACAGGGAAAGACATGTTGATGAAATGATTAAAGTGTGTGTGTGTGTGTTTTGCTTTGGTGTTTTTTTTTGCCACAAAATAGCTTCTTAGTATATTTTTATACGTTGACCCAACTCATAGGGCCTGTGCGTGGCAATGGGACTTGGAACAATTATTCCAGTGCCTAGGTGGGTGGACTGTCTCATCTTTGTTAGTGAGTGATATTCATGCCGAGGTCCAGTCTCTTCTTTTCAAAATAATGAATTATTTGTAGCCACCAGAAATTGCTGGACTGGAGAAAATGGAATTGAAATTGAAGTCTTAAATAAAAAATGTCAAGAACATTGATTTTAAGTCACTTTGCAGTGACATCCTATAGAAAGCTGTGCCATCCGTTGTGCATGTTCATTTTGCTAGTAAATGGATCTTTGATACTTGACTGCTTTTTTAAATATGATGCAGGTTGTTTCCAACCATTGTAAGTCTGGTGGTGCACTTGCAGGATGAGACTTTTTTTCACAACAGGCTGAGGAAAGGAGTTGCATTGACTAAGTCCAGCCCTGCCTAATAAGATTACTAGCTCAGCTGCTGCACAGCATGCCATAGAGATATTCTATCATGTGTGTGCTCCCTTCCACAGTGCTGATGCTGAGGTAGGTTCCTCCTCCAAAGTAGACTTTTAATAATGTTTAATCAGAAGTATACTTTTAATCCTCTCTCTCTCTCTCTTTTGGTGGAGTGAGATAATATTACAATAACTAGGTTAATTACATTTCTTTTGAGCAGTCCAACAATGTGCCAAGTGTTTAAAAGTGGTACAAATGTGTGGTGCAGATAAGCATGCCCACTATAGCAGGACCTTAGGCTTATACTATTTGCAATGTTACACTAAAAAGAATGACAATGTAATCCCATCCTTACTGAATGATATGAGATTGATTCAGGATTAGTTTTCAGTGTGTGGGAGGGCTTCACTCATGGAAGGTACCTTTGCCTGGTAGTGGATTGCAGAGTCCTTGTACCACAGCTCACCATGACCAGCCATGGGTCCCAGACCTGGAGGTACTATTCTCAGGCATCTAGAGAATCTGCCATGGAGCGGAGGGGGAAGGGAGGCCCACTTCAACGAGTTCAACTGAATGTAAAAATGGTGTGGAGCTAACAAATGTTTTATATATGTTTATAGTGCCATGCTTTTCCCCAGGAATAGGAATTATCTAGTGCTGTTATTCATTGTGCTGTTAAATACACAGTTGGATATTATCCAAATTATTGTATAGTAAAATGGATTCTTTGACATATATCTGATGGGAACATCAACAATCAACTGTAGCATATTTTTATTTTAGTTGCATTGTAAAGATGTGTTGAGGCCTAATTAAGGAGCACTTCCATCCGAGTTGATTTGAACTGGATCTTTGTGTGTCTTCTCTCGCGTTGAAATCAATAGGACTTGAAAGTTATTGTGGCTGAATTTTCTAAAGTCATCACAGTAACAACTGGTTTGGAAGACAAATCATAAGCATCAGCGAGGCTTGTACTGGCAAGAACTTTGAAGAAAATGCTTGAGAGGAAATGCTTGTTATTAGCAGATGTCTCAAAAATGAGAAACTACAAATTTTTGTAAATTGATGCCTTTTTAAAGGCTAGATACTTAAAAAATCTCATCTAATAACCATGAAAGTTAATATTTCTTTTTAAATCAAGTGCTTAGCTTTTCCAAACAAAACTGCTGTTCTGCAGTGGTCTTATTTGTACTCCTTGCTCTTTTGTATAAAGTAAATAGATTTCCTACAGTTGGACTTTATAGAAACGAAGTTCCCTTACAGCTTTACAAACATTGTAAAAACATCAATGTGGCTGATTTGGATTAACCAATTTGACTATAATTTGAACAATAATAAATTTAGTATGGCACAGTTATAAGACTTTATGTTGTTTCATATCTGCAGAGACAATGGCCGAAGGTTATTTTTTAATATGAATGTACATATGAGAAAGATGGATTTAACATGTGTACAATAAATCTATTTAAAACATTTTGAACACCTGCATTTTTAAATACCTCCTCCTGTATTCATTTCCTTTACCAGCCATTCACTACCTAAAAATAACAGCTTTGGATTCATATACATCATATAGGCACACTTGCTTTGTGATGAGGTGAACCTGCTGCTGAGATTTTCAGGCTTGCTGTGTTGTATAACTAAAATGTCTGTGCCGAAGGCTCTTGCTGGAAATACCTGAGAACCTCAGGTAGCTGCTGAATTGCCCAAATGAGTTATCAGATGAACACTAGAAGCTACCAGGAAGCAAAAGCTCTTCTAAAGTTCATGAATGAAAAGAAGCAGGAACAGAGGCTACCAAGTTGTGGCCAACTTATTTTCTACAGGACACTGATATATTTATAGACCATTGCAGTTAACAGTTCCAAATAGAATAGATCCATAGAATCAATGGGTGTTATTTAATTTTTAATATATGACCCATTTATTTGTTGAATTTAATTAAAATTAACCAGTATTTTCAAGTGAGTCATCTAAATGTTTCAGGAAAGGGCTGCTTATTGGTCTTCTTTCAATGACCAATATGTGGTTTTCACTGGACTTTTTAGTCATCAAATGTTGATCCTTTGACCAATTTTTAAAAAAAGACTTATCTGCTGGGTGCTTGCATAAATGAATGGAAGTTTCTCCAATTAGTCATTGTCAAATGACCAAATTGTAGCTGTATATAGCAACCTTAATTAAGGCTACCACAAATGTCTTATGCCATATAGAAAGCAGCATACAGTAGTTAGGTTTCCAGAATATTCAGGTGTTAAGTTATATCTCACACAGAAGTTACTTGTGAACTATAAACCTTAGAAAAATTTAAGCAGAACAACATGCACTATTTCTTCATATCTAGTTGACAGGTTTGCCATGATATATGACCATGTGTCCTCATACAAGCCAATCACACGATTGTGTTTTTAGAAGTAAACACATATACAAGAGCAATCATGAAATCAACTTCAAACTGGGGTCTTGCTGGATAAAATCAAACATTTTCTTGTTGTACCATGTGAATCTCTGCTGTTTCCAATTTAAAAGGGACAGACTTAACAGTCCAAAAAGATTAATAACGAAAGATAATAATTTGCGGTGATATTTCAGCTTACTGAGAAGTATCATCATCATTGCAGATTTGAGAAAGGATGTGCTGGAAAGGCCCTCAAAATCATGTCCCCTACCTCTGATTTCCAGATAGAAACCACCCCATGATTTATCCTTTAAAAATAGCAGAGAAGCTTGTTAGAGAAAATAGAGAAACACTGAATCTAAAGAAATCAATAGGTGAGACTGGGTGTCTTTGCCTCTAATTCTTTTGCTAAGTCCTTTACTCCTTTTCTCTTAGTGAGCCTCCCACCCTTCAAGGAAATGAGTTTAGTTTGTTTGTTCCTTTTTATGTGCAATGGATGGCCAGCTGTGAAGATGTCATTATCTAGACTACTATATTGTGAATTATAATGCATGGATGTCAAAGCTGAACAAAGAAGAAAGCTGGCAGGAAAAAAATTATTTGAAATGTGCTGGGCCATCAGAAAGGAAATAAATGGGTTCTGCATGAAATCAAGTCTAAGTTTTCACTAGAAAGGAAAATTACTAAATGGAGGCTGTTTTACTTTGAACATATCAAGACAAGACAAAACACAAAGATGATGCTGGAAAAAGTTGAAGGCAGTAGGAAAAGATTAAACATGGGTTGGTTTTATTGTATTAAGGAAGACACAAGACTTTAGTTTGCAAGACCTAACATAGTTGTTGATGACAGGATATTTTGAAGGTTAATTCTTAAGAGTTACCAGAAATCACCTGACGCAAAACACAAAGATGATGCTGGAGAAAGTTGAAGGCAGTAGGAAAAGATGACTAAAACATGGGTTGGTTTTACTGAATTAAGGAAGACACAAGACTTTGGTTTGCAAGACCTAACATAGTTGTTGATGACAGGATATTTTGAAGGTTAATTCTTAAGAGTTACCGGAAATCACCTGACAGCACTTAACAACAGTGAGAACTGCAAAAAATTATTCCCTTGCAACTGTTCACAGCACAGGTGTGATGGCCTGAGATTAACGAGAAACTGTTGCAAACCAGACTTGCTATCTGAATTTCCAGCTGAATAACATCCGGCTCTAGTAATTGACTGCACTTCAGTTTCTAATGTTCCTCCGTTGTTTCCCCCTTAGAGATTAATAATATATTACAACCACATCCTTGTTTCCTGTCCAGACTACTCTTGGGACATGAATTCCCCATCATCCTCTCTGAAGTAAAAGGTGATGCAGGAATGAAATTTCAGCAGTGTATTGACTTAGATTAATCCAAGATTAGCTCAGACACCTCTGGCTGAAAATACGCATAAATTCTCTTTCCTTACCTTGGGTGTATATGGAAATATATGCCAAGAACCTATAGTGGCACTGCACAACTGTCAACCCAGCTGAGGAAGCATGTCCTGTGCTACATGTTTTTATACTGTTCAATAAAACACATAGAATTATTGTATTCAAATACATCAATATAAATGTTTGTTACATAGTCCCAACATTTCTGAGATGGGATTTCACTATTAAACTAATAACAAACATTATATAATAGGATATCATGTGCACTTGAGATAATCGTCACTCTGATTTCTGGTCTCCAAATGGAGGTGTGGGTTGTAAGCCGCCCCGAGTAGACATTGTCTAGAGGAGCGAGGTAAAAATCTAATAAATAAATAAATAAATAAATAAGAATGTTAGAAGAAGACTGTGATAGGCAACTTACACCTTTTTGCCCCATTTCAAAAGCTGCCTGTAAGTGACCAGTTCAGCTCTCTACATGTGTGATCTGCTCCCTTCTCAGTGGCCTAGCAAGGAGGAAAAGAGAAAGATGCCATAGAGAATGAGTAAGGGAGAGAATGGAAGGAAGTGGTCTTGCCCAGTTTGTACTCTGGCCTCATCCACTGCTGACTTTAACTCTGCCCAAAACCCAAATGGCCCCTTCCTCAAAACAGTGACTATGCAAAAGCCTTTGACTGTGTGGACCACAGCAAACTATGGCAAGTTCTTAAAGAAATGGGAGTGCCTGACCACCTCATCTATCTCCTGAGAAATCTATATGTGGGACAGGAAGCAATAGTTAGAACTGGATATGGAACAACTGATTGGTTCAAAATTGGGAAAGGAGTATGACAAGGGTATATATTATGCCCCGGCTTATGTAATTTATATGCAGAATACATCATGCAAAAGGCTGGACTGGATGAATCCCAAACCAGAATTAAGATTTCCGAAAGAAATATCAACAACCTCAGATATGCAGAAGATACCACTCTGATGATAGAAAGTGGGGAAGAATTAAAGAACCTCTTAATGAGGGCGAAAGAGGAGAGCGCCAAAAATGGTCTGAAGCTCAACATCAAATAAACCAAGATCATGGCCACTGGTCCCATCACCTCCTGGTAAATAGAAGGGGAAAATATGGAGGCAGTGACAGATTTTACCTTCTTGGGCTCCATGATCACTGCAGATGGGGACAGCAGCCACAAAATTAAAAGACACCTGCTTCTTGGGAGGAAAGCGATGACAAACCTAGATAGCATCTTAAAAACCAAAGACATCACTTTGCCAACAAAGCTCAGCATAGTTAAAGCTATGGTTTTTCCAGTAGCGATGTATGGAAGTGAGAGCTGAACCATAAAAAGGGTTACCGCCAAAAAACTGATGCTTTTGATTCGTGATGCTGGAGGAAATCAACCCTGAGTGCTTACTGGAAGGACAGATCCTGAAGCTGAAGCTCCAATACTTTGGCCATCTCATGAGAAGAGAAGACTCCTTGGAAAAGACACTGACATTGGGAAAGTGTGAAGGCAAGAGGAGAAGGGGACGACAGAGGATGAGATGTCTGGACAGTGTCATTGAAGCTACCAACATGAATTTGATCCAACTCCGGGAGGCAGTGGAAGACAGGAGGGCCTGTCGTGCTCTGATCCATGGGGTCACGAAGAGTTGGACATGACTTAGCGATTAAACAACAACAAAACAGTGGCCATGAGGAAGCGGTGCACTCAATACAAATGTTGCCCACTCTGAAATAATGCATGTGATCTGCAACCCACTTATAATGGATTCACTCAATTTTGGCAATAATAAGAAAAGCATGGGCTGTTTTTTGGGGGGTCTTTTGTCTCTGAAAACAGTGGGTCTTATGCTGGACTGTGGCCTCTGGGCTCACATTACATCTGATTTTGTTCTGAAAAACAAGTAGAACCATGAAACATTAATAGTACCTTCTTAGAGTTATTAGACTTGGAAGGATTCTTGTACTTTTAAAATAAGGCAAAAGTTCCTTAAGGGCAGTCTCTCTGTTCAATGCTGCACCTATCAGTTCTTAGAAAGCCTTACTGCTATTCATTCTTTCAATCATTTAGTTTTAAATGGATTTATATCCCACCCATATGGAAGTCAGATTCAGAGTTTACCTTCAGATCTTGAGCTGACAACCTCCAAAAGTGTTTTTGAATGTATTTATAGAACAGTTTCCAACATGGTGGCCTTCAGAAGTTTTAGATAGGTCTCCCATCATCCCTGATCACCAGCCATGCTGGCTGGGACTAATGGGAATTATAGTACAAACCATCTGAAGGACCATCTTAAATTTATCTGTCGAGGAAAGTCTCAGGAGGTTAATTCTTAATTGGACATGCATAGGAACATGGGATGCAGCTTTATCTGGAGTGAGAAAATGTGTCCCTCTTAGCTTGTGATGCAGTTGACACTGACTAGCAGCGGCTCTGGAGGGACGTGGTGGCGCTGCAGGTTAAACCTCAGAAGCCTGTGTGCGGTAAGTTCTGTAGATCTTCAGCTGTTAGACCGAATCCACGTGACGGAGTGAGCACCTGTCGCTTGTCCCAGCTCCCACCAACCCAGCGGTTCAAAAGCATGCAAATGCAAGTAGATAAATAGGGACCACCTCGGTGGGAAGGTAACAGCGTTTCGTGTCTAAGTCGCACTG